TGGCAGCACTAAAGAGAAAAGATTTTTCGTCTGCCCCTTAGCTTTTCAACATGAAGGGCTACTGAGGAGATTTATTTTATTGAGGGACAAGTGCTGCATGGTGTGTATGGTGGACTCTCAAATTGTTGAGCTGATTCCCTATTTCTTTTTATTCTAACTTCTGGCAATCTTCCTATATTACTAGTTAAAGAAACAGGAATACTTGCAATGAGCAGAATTTTGCAATACTATTTACAGTAGACGTCAACTAGTAGACCAAATGCCTTCTTTGCAGGCAACCTGCAGTTTCAAGTGGATCTGGCTAGTCAGCTTATAAGATGCTGGGCCAGAAGAGCTCTTCATCCTCACCACTTCTCTACTTCATAATAGTCACTTAGCCAGAGGTTCCACCCAAGAAACTGATAATATGTGGCTTTATAAGCTTCCCGTGCTTGATATGGGAGTACAGATTTAAAACCTGAAAGTTTAGGCTTTGCATCTACTATGTGTGGAAAGAACTCTATCCTCTGGACTTTTGCATGAGTGGCCAAGGTCCTTGGCACCCCGCTCTATATAAACACGTGCTTTTTCATTGCTAAGAGATAGTGCTTCCCCTGATGTATAATCAAATTAGGCTCCATTAACAATACTTGAAGACAGTTAAAAGGCAATAAATTTAGTTTGTGAAATTACCTGGTCTTCCCGGGAAGTTCCCTTCTTGGGTTGCTGCTTCCTCAGAGCTTCATACTTTTGCTTTTCTCTTCTGTATTCTGCAACAGCACCACCTAGAGCAGCCTCTTCCTCTGAAGAATGATAGAATATTCTTAGAATAAACGTAAAAAGGCTCTGTGGATTCATATTAAAGTCTATGCTCTTATCACTGAAGAGGAGATCAGAACCTGGGGCTGGTTTGCCTCCATTAATTAAAAAACCAAACCAATAAATTCCACTAGCTCAACAACTATTTCCTAGATTAGAAAGTGACTGATGTTAAGTTATCAACCAATTTTATACACATCTTTATTATATGCTGAACTATTGCAGTTGTTCTCTATTATATTTGAGTATAAAATCACCTATCTCATTTTTAGAATAACTATGATTTTCCTGTAATTCAGTAATACCATTTTATATTATTCCCTTGCCTTATAAGATACACTCTTTCAATATTGGTTGATTTTTTCCAATTACCTGCTACTTCCCCCCCCCCACAGTGAAAAAACAATAATAATAATAATAATAATAAGAAGAAGAATAGTAACAAACAACTTCACTTTGATGGCATTATAATATGTAAATATATCTAGCAAATAAGTCAATTAGGACAATTACCAAAAGCAGGCAAAAATAATTTTTACTAAATTACAAATTAGAAAACAAATGTATGCATTTGATCCTGCAATAATTCCATGTGAAGATTAGTTAACATCTGGAGTTATAGAATACAGTTTTGTTTCAAAAAAACAAGTACTGTACTAACGTTTTTTAAAAAATATTTTTACTGATTTCAGAGAAAAAGAGAGGGAGAGAGAGATAGAAACATCAATGATGAGAGAGAATTGTTAATTGGCTGCCTCCTGCACACCCCCTATTAGAGATCCAGCCCGCAACCCAGGCATGTGCCCTTAATCAGAATCGAACCTGGGACCCTTTAGTCTGCAGGCTGACGCTCTATCCACTGAGCCAAACCAGCTAGGGCTGTACTAACATTTATAATACATTACATGTATACATATTAATGAAAATTTGTGACTGAAAAAACAATAACCTGTCTCTTGTCTTTGACTGGTAAACCAAGAGGAGCCAGATGTAATCAAGAACGCTAGTGGTCCTGGCCGGGCAGCTCAGGTGGTTAGAGCATTGTTCCGATACACCAAGGTTGCGGTTTGATCTCTAGTCAGGTCACATACAAGAAGCAACCAATGAACTTATCAATAAGTGGGACAACAAATCAGTGTTTCTTCTTTCTTTCTTTCTTTCTTTCTTTCTTTCTTTCTTTCTTTCTTTCTTTCTTTTCTTTTCTTTC